ATTAATTTCTGGATGCCACGCAGTGCATTTTTTAATAGTACTATGACAACTTGTTAAAATATTGAGTTTTTCATAAATTTTAAAAAATTGAGGGTGTGAATAAAAAGAAAAAATTTTAAAAAGTATTGATCATAAAAATGACATAAATGGAGGTGCAAATAGGGCTTTGGCGAAATGAAAAAAAGGAAAAAGCAATGCTCTCTTTTAGTGATTATTATTAAAGTTTCTGGATGTTGGCAGTCAATTCCATGAAATGCCCTGCCGGGAACAATAACTTATCATTGTTTTTTGATAATCGTCAAAACAGATTGAGAGCAATAACTCATTTTCTTGGGTGGAAAACTTTCTTTGGACAAGACATTTTCCCCAATTCTAGATAACATTAATGAAAGGGGAAAAAAACAAAATAAAACTGAAACAATGATGATGAAGAGAAAAAGGATAAAGCTTAGGTGTGCATATGGATTGCGTACTCATCACATAGCCTCTAGCCATACATTTAAAAAAAAAATTGTTATTTTTTATAATTAAATTAATTTTAATTAATATTTTTTGCATTTAAGTTTTAAAAAGTAATTAATAATTAATATTTAATATTTAATAATAATTATTAGTAATTTTTGTTATTTATAATTTAAGTTTTTTTTATAATTATTTTTTAAAAGTTTTTTATTAGTATTTAAGAGTGCACGAATAATAGTACTTCATCCACACACTACAAATTAAGTTGTTCAGTACATGGAATGAATACAAAACCGTTCCAGCCTGCTCTTCCACCAACCTAATATCAACCTGCCTTTCGGTACAAAATCAGCCTGCCCTTTCCCCAACCTTATATCCCTAGTCCGCAGTCCACACACCCACGACATTTACAGCTCTTTAGCACATAAAACAGGAAATAATAAAAGACTATCACTGATTGATTGACTTAATGATTATCATTAAAAGAGACGGTGTTTAAGATATTAAAGTTCTGAGTTTAAATTTAGATATTCAATCCCCATCGCTTAAGTTTTCTCGGTTAAAAAAAAAAAAAAAAAGAAACAATAAAAACCAATGATGAGTAAAAGAAAAATCTGAAGAAATTATTCTTAATAAAAAGAGGCACTTTTTCTCAATGATACAACTCTTAATTAAATTATACATTTTTAGACTGAAAAAAAAAAAAAACAACTTACAACAACTTAATTATGTATTTTCTACCAATGCTCGGTAAAGCTTGAAACTATTTTGTCTTTTTATTTTAATAAAATTATTTGAAAATAAATTACTTCATGTTGTATGTGTTCAACATGCAAATACTGCTACATGAGAATCAATACAAGCAATATGAACATCACCCTCTTGGAGTGTACCCAAAGAAAAAATGTTTCTCTTTCTTCTGTCTGTTATATATTATGCGTCAATTCCATGGCTTCCAATTCTTGATTTTGACCTTGTTTCAGTGACCTTTCAAGGAACCAAGATGATGCAATTGAATTTCCCCTTCACCGGCCTTTGGGATTTGAAATCTGAGGAAAAATTTCAGTTGTGCTAAGATCAGATTCCTCATTGATTTCAACCTCGCTCCTTTGGCTGTGGTTTCTATTGTTACTAGACCCTTCTAAGCCATCATTTACTTCATTTGTACTTGTACCTCGCTTGGAACCATCGGCAGTTTCTTGCAACTGGAGAGCGAATTCCAGGTTCCACAGGACATCTCCCATGGAGGGGCGTTCTATCCCATGGTCTGATAAACACTTCTCAGCAGTGTCAGCAAACTTTTTCAAGCATTCTGGGTTGATCTTCCCTTTTAAATGAGGATCAATAATGTCTTCCAACAAACCCCTTTTCTGACAGAAAAGTGCCCAATCTGCCAGACTGACCTGTTCCTTTGGGAGGTTTGTGTTCAGAGCAGGTCTTGCACACAAAACTTCAAAAAGAACAACTCCAAATGAGTAAACATCGGATTTCTCAGTTAATTGTTGCCTTCGGAAATACTCAGGATCCAAGTACCCGAAACTTCCCTTTACCACGGTACTCACATGGCCTGTATTCATGTCAGGACCTGTTTTTGATAACCCAAAATCCGAAACTTTAGCAACCCAGTTTTCATCTAGGAGAATGTTTGTGGTCTTAACATCACGGTGAATGATGGTGTACTTGGCTCCAGTGTGTAGGTAATGAAGTCCTCTAGCCGCACCAATGCATATGTCAAGCCTTTGTTTCCAGGGGAGATGAGTTTTTAATTTTGAATTGTAAATGTGTTCTCTTAAGGTTCCACGCGCCATGTAGTCGTAGACCAAGCACATTTCCCCACCGTCCTCGCAGAATCCAATCAATGAGACCAAATGCTTGTGTCGGAGTTTTGAAAGCATCTCGATTTCAGTTTGGAACTCATTGACACCCTGCTCCGAAGAGGGGTTTGATCTTTTGATTGCTACTTTTGTGGTGCCATCTATTACACCTTTGTAAACTTTACCAAAACCTCCAACGCCAATGACATTTGATTCGTCGAAGTTCTTTGTGGCCTGCTTCATCTCTGCCCAGGAGAAATGGCGGCAGAGGCCTTGGGCTAGATTTGAGAGGTGACTGCTTTGGCTAGTAGACCTGCTTGCTGCGGTATGACTGTTTGATTTTCCGTAGATAGGAAGCCAACTAGAGGTGTGAGTTTCGGTTCCCGGAAGGTGTTTTTGCCGCTTGTAGACAACAATGCACAGTGCCGCCACCAGGCCAAACACGGCTGCTCCTCCTGCCGCGCTTCCTATGATATGAAGATTAGGCTTGAAAGTTCTTTTAGGCTCCCTCTCTGCCTTGAGAAGCAAGTCTGATGGCTGAGGATTAGGACCTGCTAGGTTCTTGTTGGCATCACTCATCTTGAAAACCTCAATCCCATTGAGTATTATATCAAGGTACTCCGGTTTGGATGGTTTTGACGGTGACATATCCACCTGAATCATGTCATCACCAGGTTTATCATTGACAATAATTGCATAATCTTTGTAAATTGGAGCTCCCTGTGCTCCAGCCCACGCGATTATATCTGCCGGGTTAGGATCAACTTGAGCTGACTGATTGTTCACGTAAATATTGAAAACTCTCTGATTAACCTTGGTAAACAAGATCTCACAGAAATGTAACCTCACAATATAGGTGAAATTGGCATCTACTTGAAATAACCATGTCATGTTGAATTGCTTGTTGACATCTGCAGTTGGTCCCATTGTCCTTGCGGTCTTATAAACGTCAACCGGTGCAGTGTATTCCGGTAATTCTCCATACGTTATGGTGACATTATCTGCAGCCTTAAAACTTACTCCCATTGCAGCACCAAATAAATAAGGTGAATCATCATACCAACTCCTCTGAAGCCCTCCAGAATCATTGCTTGGAGCAATATATTGTCCACCAACGTTTACTCTGTACATAATTTGCACATTCTGAGTTGTTGCATCCATAGTCTGGTCATTAAATCCCACCAAGTTCGCCGTGCCAAAAATCTCCGGTATTGGAATCAGCTCAATCCCATTTACAAAAGCAAAAGAATTTGAAAAATTAGTTGAGGGGGTGAAGGTGATATTTAGAACTTCGGGATCCATGGCTGCCAGAGAATACTCTTTAATAAGATAAGCTTGTGTAAGAGCTTGACATGTGATTGCAGCACTGAAATTGCTTAAGAGGGTAATTCCACCGGCGACCACAGAAAAAAATGAATTGCTGGCATTGAAGTTGGAATAAGAAGAAGGGTAGAAATGGAGCCTGATCGAGTACCTTTGTTGCGTCTTCACCGGGAATTGGTATGTCGCCGGAGACTTAAAAATTCTAGCTTTCATGTAAGGAATTGAAGAAGAAAGTGAAGGGTCTTGATATCCGGCTTGGACTTGGGTGGAATCCGTAGGAAGAAGGAACTTGGAATCAGATTCCCATGTCCGACCATCTTCGTCTTTGCCACCATTGGAGCCACAATCCAAGGCCAAAGGCTTTAAATTAATGCTTAATACATGAAGAGCATTGAAAATTACAAAAAAGCAAATGAGAAAACACACAGAATTTGTGGATGGCATCCTGGCGTACAGGAAAACAAAACTGGGGAAATACAAGGGATGGAAAGTTCCCCTGTACGCCTAACTTAGAGAGAATTGTGCTAAACTCTGTTTTAATATTATTTTTTCTGTGATGTTGAAGGATTAGCCTAATCCATCTCTACCCACCCATGGGATCACAAGCATTTGTAGCCTTTAGGGAGCAAACTAGGCATGAGAAGAAGGTTTTTTCATCTTTTGTATTATGGGTTCATTTTTGCTTTCCTTTTTTTGGTGTTTTTGTTCAAATACAGGGCTTGTAAGTTGTAAATGTTGCGAGATTGGTGGTTGTCTAAAATTGATGGAGGGGAGTGAGAATCGTGATTCGAAAACCCACTTCATTGGTTTTTAGAAAATGTTTGATTTCCCTTTGAACGACAAAAGCCACATTCTAAAATTAGTATATATTTACCATTAAGTATGTAATTTGATAGTATAACTATTTATACTTTTAATTATACATTTAAAGTTTAATAATTAGTTTTCATGAAAAAAAGCATATATATTTTTTTTAAATAATAATTTTATAATTTATTTTGTATAAATTACACATTTTATAACTATAAATCAATCTACATTAAAGAGTTCACCATTCATAAATAGTATTATAAGATGTGTAATGTATCCTACTTTTTTGTTTTCTTTTTGGTCCAAAGTTTGTGAAGCTCAATTTTTTACGCAATTTTTTCAAGGTTTTTCTTAATGGTGACACCAAAAACTTAACATTTTATATTCATTTTTAAATATAAGTGAGGAGGGAAAGGAGGTATTCTTATTAAAAGAAATTGTTATTATAATGTTTGAAAAAGATAAACAAAGATATAAAAACGGAGAAAGCCTAATTAACAAATCTTAACATTCTTAGTTTAAAGAAATACAAGGAAAAAGGAGGGGAGCGAATGAGAGTGAATTTTTAAATATAATTAAATTGACACTTTAAATTGATATTATAATTTGATTAAATAAAAACTTTTTCTTTTCCTCCCTTCTATTTTTCCTCAAACTAGACATGCACAATAGTCAATAACAATAATGCACTGGTTAGGGATTAAGAAAACCTTGAGCTGGTAAGAAGTGTTATGCTCAAATTTCCCTACCTCTAAATAAATAAACGAAAAAGCAAATAAAAGTTAAAGAACTAAAACAAAATGGTTCTCTTTCTAAAGAGATGAAGCAATATTCTTACATATTAATAAGATGGATATTAAGAAAATGATTTAGTTAATAAATATTTTTTTTTAGTTAGGACAATAAATGAGTTAAGTCAAATTAAATTCTTTAAAATTTAAGTTTAAGCTTTATACTATATTAATAAGTTGAATTAAATTTGAACTTAAACTAAACTCGTTATCTCAAATTTAATTTATGAAGTTAAACATAATTAGTAACTTTGATTGAATACTTTTTAAATTTTAAATATTTAATAAATTTAAAAATTTATGAAAACAATTGACTTTAATCCAATCGAGTTTAACTTGTAACTCAACTGAATTTTTGAAGCTTAGTCTTGAGCTTAAACTCAATCTTGAATCAAGTTAAGCCCAACTTGCGTTTGAGTCGAGGACTTTTTTTTATTTACAACCTTATTCTAGTCAAGCATGAAATAAAAAACCCTCTATTTTTCTTTTTGTTTAGAATAACAAAGAATCCTCTGTTTTAGCCCATTGTCCAAAAATGGTTTCTGTTTTTTAGCATATTGTCTGACAAGAATGTAGCTGAGCCATTCCTTAAAAGAAAGGGAACTCAACAGACAAAAAAACAGAGAAGCCTCCAAATTTAACAATTTCAGGGTTGCTACTCTCCTACAGTTACAAATGGATGGTGGAACAGAGCATACCAATCAAAGGAAATGGCCATGGCTACCCCTCTCTTCCCCCATTAAAGCCCCTCAATCTTCCTCTTGTTTCTCCCATTTAAAAATCAAAAACAGAGTCAACCCCCAGAAAAATATTTGCCAAAAAGTTTCTTTCCAATTTTCCCACCTCCCCACCCCATCCCCCACTCCATTAGCATTCGTTGGCCGCGTCAGCTCCTCCTGCTGTCGCGGCCATCGTTTGATCTAATTAGCTTTTCTCCATTAACAGAAGAAGCTTGAATTTGCTTTAGTTAAATATATAACAAATAAAAGGAATGGTGGAGGGATCTTCGTCATCATCATCGACGTCGTCGTTGGGTGAGACGGAGGCGGAGGAGTTGCAACGGATGCCATTAGTGCCACCAATATGGAAGAACAAGAAGCATTTGTCCAAGCAGCTGTCAATGTGCGAAACATCTCGCGACATCGCATGGGAGAAGCGACGACGCCAGATTCTCCAACAGGAGCGGCGGAAAAATGGTATCATCGACACGGAGGATTTAACGGATGAAGACTTGCACGAGCTCAAAGGGTGCATAGAGCTTGGATTCGGGTTCAAGGAAGAGGCGGCGGGTCAACAGTTGTGCAATACTTTGCCTGCTTTGGACCTTTACTTTGCGGTGAACCGACAGCTTTCCCCTAGCCCAGTGTCGACACCACAGAGTCGCGCGTCGAGCTTGTCTCCCCTGGGTGGCCGGTCTTCGTCATTTGAAAGTCCGAGAAGCGACTCTGAGTGGAAAATTTGTAGCCCAGGTATAAGTCTTATACCAAGAGTGTGTTTTTGTTTTTTTTAGATTGAATAATTTAACAGCTCGGGGTTGCAGATGTTTGAATTTTTATTATACTTTTTTTATCTTTATGCATAAGTTTTGTTATGAGAAATCCAACATAAAAAAAAATTTAGGCTATTAGAAATCTACAATACTGAAAAAACTATTATAATCTAAAATTAATAAATAAAAAAAACATATAATTTAAAATCGATAGTTAACCTTATCAAAGAAAAAAAATCAATAGTTAATAAATAAAGTAACTCATACTATTATTAACTTTATTTTTCATTTAATTGATAAATCGTAACAATATAATAAATTGTTTTTTTCTTTTTCTTTTTCTTTTTATAGGGGATAATCCTCAGCAAGTGAAGACTAGGTTGAGGCATTGGGCACAAGCTGTTGCATGTTCTCTAATGCAGTCATATTGAAGTGTGGGATGGCCTGTAGAGATACAAACAGGGAAAATGGACTAGAGACAGATACAGAGAGGGAGTGTGTGTGAGTGAGAGGTTGGCTTTAATTATTTAGGAATTTTCTTTTAACTAAACAGAAAGCGAAGAGGAAAATGCCACTGCTGGCTATTTATGCCGTAAGAATGCGAGAAAAAAAAATGCCAGTAGAGCATTTCAGGGTATTTTTATCCTCTTCTGAGTTGAATCAAAAACTTTAATTGTTAATCAGAGGATCTTACGATTATCTTC